ATCAGTGATGCTTAAAAGTTCACCCTCATGAGAATCACCTGGAGGTGTGTTGAACTGCAGCTTGCTGGGCCCCCATGCTGAGTTTCTGATCCAGTAGGTCTGAGATGGGAACTGAGAACCTGCATGTCTAACAAGCGCTCAGGTAAGGCTGATGTTGCTTGCTGGTCCAGAGCCACGCTTTGAGGATGATGGTACTAGTTGATTTCTAAGGAAATCTTCATGAGATACGGAGGCAGTGCGTGAGAGCATTCCAATCACGAATTATAAGGTAAGAAGACGGAGGGTTCTGAAGGATTGGGTTGGCCAGAAAGCCCAGGTTTTTCCATAACATCCTATGGAACTTTTTGCATCTTAAGAACCTTCTGGCCAACCCAAAAGAAAGGGGTCAGGACCCAAAGGCAGGCCAGCCTGGCAGAAAACTTACACTTGCTCGAATGATCCACCAAGACATATGCTATGGGCCTCTTTTTCTTGCTTTCTTTCCTTTGCAGGTTTCTCTGCTTACCGCTCCCAGGAAAGGCAGGTCCGCTGGCAACCCCCGGCAAGGACAAAAGATGGTTTCCTCTCACAGGCCCCTGCTTGGAGGGACGTGTTCACACAGCTAATCAGGCTGTCAACGTGCTGTTCAGCCTTCAGCACCCTCTCCTGAGGGCTCCTGACATTTCTCAGAATTTACACAGAACTTAGTGAAGTCTTAAACTACATTTTTTTTCCCCTCTTTTGAGCTCATCTACTCCCTAATAGGATAAATTCAAGGGGAAACATGCTCTGATCTTCCAGCTGCCTCCTCTTGACACACACACACACAAGGAACTAATTAGCAGGCCTGCCGAGGAGGCGGGCAGAAAAGGGTTCATGACAAGAACACAGGCCGGGCAGCCGCCCTCAGGAGGTGGGGCCTCCTGACTCGCCCTTCGGCCATCACGTCAGGTTGTTCGGTTGCTCGGTCATGTCTGACTCTTTGCCACCCTGTGGACTGCAGCATGCGTGCCCCACCCCCGTCCTTGGGTCCATATGTCGGTGGAGGGGAAACTGACATCTGGGTGTCTGCCTGGTGTTGCCATGGCATCTACTGGGCAAGTGGTTGTGTTAGTGATTTAGCCTTTCGTGCATCAGGAAAGCCCTTGACATCCCTGCTTTCACTGATGCTAACAAGGATCCTATGAATTAAGCAGGAGGGGAATGATGGCCCCACTTGACAGATCAGACAGTTGGGAAGGAGCTCAGAAAAAAAAACAGTGGGCATGGTACCCTTGGCTCAGCCAATCCTTGTGTGGTCTTAAACAGATCTCTTTCCTAGGCCTCAGTATTACCATTTGTGAAATGGAAGAAATGGACCAGATGATTGGGAGGTCTCCTTATAGAATCTCTTAGTCTGGGAACGAGCTACACACGGTAAAGGATCTGAGGTCCTATGATGAAAGACACAGAGAAACCAGGGGTCCCCCATGTCATGTCTGATGAGTGAGAGCCAGAGTACCCCATTGCTACCCACTGCCAAATTCTACTGTTAGTGTGGGTCAACCAGGGCCTCTAGCTGCCCTCTGCCTTGCAAAATCAAAGACCCTCGGGGTGGTGTGGGAAGGGGTCACGTGCCCAGAATGCTTGCTGACTGTAACTTGATGCTCCAAAGCTGTCACACACTCATTAGAGAAGAGAAGGCCTTTTCCTCCATGAGACACCTACCCTGGGCCAGGCCCTGTGCTACACGAGGGGGGACGTGGACGGGAAGGAGACTTGCTGCCCACTCAGGACAAAGTTATGATGAGGCCAATGAGCGCCAGCTGCTGCCCCCATGTCCCGCTCCTTCCCCTGCCCCCAACCCCGCCGTCAGATCGCAAAGCCCGTCCCTGATCCTGGGCTGTAACCACACACAGGCACTGGCTGCAGCCCGAATGCGCAAGTGTAGGATCCTTGAAGCTTTCAGAGGGGTCAAGTGTAGAGCGGCTCACGTGAAGGCAATCGTCCTCCAAACACACCGGGGAGAGCAGGTGCACATTCTGACTTCCGTCGGCTGGAAGAATGCCAAGTCTCTTTCTGAGAGTCAAACCTTCTAAGCACATGGCATCAATGAGCCCAACTAGCTTGCCATCTGCAATGTGCTGGCCCATGACAATTCTTCCATTTGTTCAGGACAGTCAACACAATCACCTGGGCCGTGTCTCGGGTACAGGATTAGACTCCCTGGAGGAAACCGAGATGAACATGATATGGCTGTCAAGAACCACGGAGTTCTTAGCCTAAGAGAGCATAGGAGACACCGGCAGAAATACCATAAAGCAGACAATGGTGGGTGCTAAAAGATCCAGGTTATGGGGAGCAGGGGAGAGGTGGGGGAGGACTCAAAGGGAAGACCCAGACAGCCTCCATGGAGGAAATGGCGCATGGAAAGACCATCCTTCAAGATGCTAGAAGGCCAAATTCTTGTGTCCCTTCTGCTGCAGTCAGCCAAGTAATCTTGAGAAAGCCAGTTCTCTCCATCTTAAAATGGACCATTTGCCCAAAGTGCCTCACGGCATTATGAGAATTAAATGAGAACTGATTTAAATGCAATCAGATAAAGGCACCGAATATAAAGCTTTCATCATCACTTGGGGAAGAGTAGGGAGGAAGCTAAAAGCAGCATACCAGGGAGGAGGCAGGTGGGGGTGGGGGACGCCTGCCAAACCCAGGGCTGATGTAAGCACCTACTGGGCCTGTCACTGGCTCCAGTTATCTTTTTTTTAAACCTCCCACAGCTAATTTTATTGAAGAGAGCCCATGGAAGAGTTAAGTCAGAGCATCTAAATTCCTCTGCATCAGGAAAATGAAAGTCCCAACCAGAGAGACGGTGGCTTCCCACCCCTGCAGGACAGGCGCACGGCCACGGTTGGTGGTCAATGAACCTGGGGCTCCTTCGTGGCGCCCAGCATAGCTCCCAGGCCCCATGTACTCAGCCAGCACTCTGAGGGGGGCGGGGTGGGGGGGAGGTCCTTACTACTTTCTAAGGGGCTTTGCTTTTATGTTCCATTTTGATTCATAACCACAAGCCAGGGGGGCAGGCAAGGCACAAACGATCACCTTTATCAAAGATGGGGAAATGGAGGCTCCCAGGGGGTGACTGTCCCAGGCAGCGTCCCCAGAAGGGAGCCCAGGTCTCTGCCTCCATCACAGCATCACCTCTTCACACCTCCTTAGGAATCACTGCCACAGACAGTTTGCCCCAACAACCTCCTGCCCTCATTTTCCTGAAAGCCCCCACCACGTGCTGTTCTGTGCCCATTCCCATAATAACACTTCACTTGCATCAAAGAAAAGCTCCTTTTATTATTTCCAAACATCCTGGTTTATTCCAATCCAGAAGGTGGTATTGGGCATCCCAGAAATAACAGTGTCACGGATTCTATGGTCCTTTTACCAAATAAGGGCAGATTTGGGTTAAAACTTTCGGTTCAATTGTTTGGAATCACTGCTCCTTTGAAAAAAAGAGAACCAGCATAGGGGATTAGGAAGACAGAAGGGAATGGCATTTTTTTTTTCCCACCGTGGACATTCCTTCCTACAGACTCGGCTGTCAGTTTTGACAGATGGCCTGGCTGCAGGAGCGGGGACAGAGGGCAAGCTCTTGGTTCAGGCGGCACCAGGCAACGAGAGCCAGCTGGGCCGATTCGAGGTCTGAAATCTGAGCTGGAGCCCAGGTTCTAGCCAGGGAGGGGGGGACAGGCAGCCCTGCCCCCCGGCCCCTTCCCCGCTGCCACCCCACTGCAGCTGCGCCAGGCCGGTCAGCACGTTTTCTGAGTGTCTGTGACCTTCTGGCTGGAGGCAGAGAGGGTGGCAGGGGAGAGCAGAGGAAGGGGGCCTCAGAGAGAAAGCCGGAACGCGTTCAAGGTCAGAGATACCCTCCCCACTCACTGTGGCTGGTAACAGGTAATGGTGCACCCACTTCCTGCAGAATGCATGTATTCTCTTGGGTTGGCCAGAAAGTTCATTCGGGTGTTTCTGCCCGATGTTACAGGAAAACCAGGACGAACTTTTTGGCCAACCCAGAAGTAAAAATTCATGATCCACCAGTTTTGACAGGAGGCCGGAAGTCACAGCCCCCCCACAGCTCTGTTGAGGGGTGCCTGGCTGAGATGCTCAGAAGCTCCCCTAAAGTCAGAGGAACTGGGGTAAGGAGAACAGAGCTTTAGAGAACTCCTAGCTCCTGAAGGGCCCAGTGGATTAGGTAAGAAGAAGTCAGAGGTCTTGAGAACGAGTGTCAATGTGGCCGGGTCAGCTCTGATCTCTGCAGCCACTGGAGCGTTTAGCTGACCACCGTGTGGCGACTCAGCACCAACCAGACCCTGTGGCTTCAACATCACACTGCGGGCCCAGGGCATCATGGGACCTGGGAGAGCTGAGCCCTTCGCTGGATAAGGTACGCCGAGAATGATTTTATCAGAGCCACCGTTCGTGCCTCTGTCCACAGAGAGACTGGAACACAGAGTGAGGCAGCTTTGATGGAAGGAGGCGAGATGAGCCAGAGAGTCAGACTCAAACCCTGGGAGGCCTCCCGGGGAGTCCTGAGTAGAGGGTATGGAGAGAAGGAGGTTAGGCGGATGGCGGGGATAAAAGGAAGCTAGAGGCAAATTCACCAGCAGCACAAGTTTTTTTTTGGCCACGCCACACAGCTTACGAGACCCCCACCAGAGACTGAACTCAGGCTGCAGCAGTAAAAACCCGGAATCCTAACCACTACACCACTGGGGAGCTCCCCAGCTGCACAATTATAAAGCCACAGAGTTTAGAGCTGGATCATCTAATCCAACCCCCTCTGGGAGAGCCATGAATCATTGGTCCTGGCCACGTGGCAGAGGCAAGACTAAGAATCGGACCTCCCCTCTTTCTCGCACCCTCCAGCTTCCCCCCAAATACTGACCCCAGTCCTCTGATTCCACTGGAGCTAGGAATACCCTCTCGAACACTGAGCGTTCTGAAGGATTCCGTGGACCGCCCGTCTCAGCTGTTCCAGCCAGACATACCTTGTGTGAATAGTGCTGGTCAACGATCCTCGCCAACCCGAAATCCCCAATCTTGAGCACGAGGTCCTCGGTGCTGATGAAGATGTTGGCGGGCTTCAGGTCTCGGTGCAGCACGTTGGCGGAGTGGATGTACTTGAGCCCCCGGAGCAGCTGGTACATGAACAGCTTGGCGTGCTCCTCGGTCAGCGTGCCCTGCTCCAGCAGGCGTGCCAGGTCGGTCTCCATATACTCCTGGACGATGTAGGCCACGCTAAACTTGAACAGCTCGCCCTGCAGGTCGGTGCCGTGGGGCCCCAGCACCTCGTACACCTTCACGATGTTGTCGTGGTCCAGGCGCTGGATAATCTTGATCTCCCGGAGGGCGTGCTTCCTGCTTCGGGCATCACTCAGGGTGATCTTCTTCACCGCCACCTTCCGGCGGGCCCTGCTGTCCACAGCCGACAGCACCAGCCCGTTGACGCCGAAACCCAGGGGCTGGAAGTCAACGAAGCGCCCGCCCAGGTCATACCCGTAGACACTGGCGAGGCAGTCGCCCTTCTCGGCCATGGTTGGCTCAGTGGTCAGGCGCTGCCCGTGAGACAGAGGGGCAGTCAGGAAAGACCAAGTCCCAGCTCCTGGCTTCCCCAGCCCTCCTCATTCTGTCAAGTCCCAAGGCTGAAGGATGCCTTCTCTCCTGGTGATGTCACTGGCTCTCTGGGGACAAGAGTGGCATCTGTCCATACCTGCTGAGCTGCAGAAGCTGGAGGCTCAGACTGTCCCCTTAGCCTTGCCCTGGGAAGGCTGTCCACCAACTCCTATGTACCCTGAGCCTCCCTGGAAGCTTAGAATGGCTCATGATTCTTTCAAATACAGTATCTTGGAAAGAAAACCCAGTCCCATTATCTATGTGAATGGAAAGTTTTCTCTCATGATGGACCACAAAGTAAAGATGCAGAAACTCTCCCCTTTAAATCCTTTGTTATAAGAGGTTCCTTCTGGCTCAAATGTGGAGCCGTTGCTGAGCTGTGTTCCTTTCCTTTAGATGGTCCAAAGTCTAGTGGTATCGCATTCTCTGGCAGCCTGGGAGCTGCCCTCCAGGTCCCAAGCAGTATGAAGGGATCCCAACAGTGGATTTGAGAGGCTTGTAGGGACTTCTCTGTACCTCTGCCAGCTTTACTTTCTACCAGCTCCTCTCAGATTCTGAAGCCCAAATAAGTCTGTTGAATATTGGTGAAGAAAGCTGGAGAAATTCATGTACCTTTCATGAGCTCTGCACCAAGCTGCACCTTAAGTCCCAGACCTGGGTCTCACCTGCCTGGCCTGGACCCTCTGGAGACTTCAGATGCTGGCAGCGTCCTCTGTCACCCCCTCATCCACATCACCGTGAAGGAGATTGTGTTCTGCTGGACCCAGAGAGGCTGGCAGGAATGCAGCATCTTTCAGACCGAGTCTCCTTCCCTGTCAAAGAAACAATGTTGGGTAAATTTCCACACTTCAGCTTCCAACACCTTCCCACTTGGGTGCCTTTTGTTAACCAGCCCAAGTGTTATTTGATCTGTCCAGCCAGCTGAAACATTGCTTGCTCAGGGGATTCCAGGCTTTGCACTGCCCAAGCCACCCAGCCTGCTGTGTGCAACGCTCCCCTGGAAGAGAGAGAAGATGGATTGATTTGATAAGATCATCAGCTAGTGTGCCTTTAATGTAAATGCCTTCTCCCTGAAAGTTAACATGCACAAACTGTGGGTGGCAGTGATCAGCTCTGACTTTTGCAAAAATCATTCATTATGCCCTTCAAACACACACAGCAGCACTAGCTGAGAAGGGTAACAGTAAAAAGAAACTCGTTGCAGACGGAAAATAAGGGATCAATAAATTTGTTTTTCTACTTGGACCCCTTTTCTTCTTTTGCGAATGTCTTTGAATATTTTGAGAGAATTTGCTAAACACAGATTTAATTATTTGCATCTCTTGCTTTCCATGTAATAGCACAAGAATGCATACATACAAACTATAAGGAAATTTTATTGCCACCCTAGAAAAGGAACCTTCTGCACAGCAAAGCAGGACACAGACTTCTTAGCATGACAGTAGGATTGGCACCATGAACTGTATTCTTTTAGATAATGGGGACCTACCTCTTGAAAGCAATGAATCAGATCATATCCTGATTGCCCCCTGGTGGTTCCTGACTCAAATTACAGGCAAAGGACTTAAGTGGGGAGGAAAAAAAAATGGCAAAAATAGCACTTTAGACTTCTGAAGTAAAGGCCATATTATAGCTTCTTAGGGAGTGACAGGTTTCATAAGTTTGTTAGGTCCACATATATACAGGGAACAAATACTGTATCCTATGCAAAGGAGTGAATCTAGCCAGGGCTGCTTAATTCTCTTCATACTGTAGGGTCCCCTACAGGGCTACGTACACATCTGAACTTTGCAAATGGTAAACGAAGCAAGACAATTGTCAACTCAATGCTCTAAAATTAAGGGGACAAATTAGAGGACACAAGTGATCCGAAATAGTAAACAATCAGATGCTCTCGAAAGACTTCTAATGAAAGGAATTTGCCAAGAATCTGAAACATAATAACTGCTCAAGAGATATTACCTGTTGCAGCTACTCTTAAAAATTCCCTTATACTTGAATAAGATGTACCTGCTATTCTGATGTTTCATCAACCTTCAGTAATTCTACTGATTGAAAAAATTCTACTATATGTGTTTTTATTGGGCCCAGCCACAAAATAATCAGAATTTCAGACTGGGAAGCAACTGTAGCAAACAAGTCCAGTGGTCCTTAATTGAGGGTGGTCCTGTCTTCTTTGGCTACTCTGACAAGGAGTCACTACAGGCCTTAATGGGCAGAGCCGGCTTTGCTAACCATCCTGACGAGCATCTCCATCAATGAATAATACCAGCATCTCCACTGAGAGACTGCAATTCTAGTCCCAGTTTCCACTCTGCAAATAAGAGCACTGAGGCTCAAAGAACGCCAGCTTAGTGCTTCTAGCACAGACAGGGTCAATAAACACTTGAGGAATTGACAAATACCATTCACTTTGAAGATTCCAAGCCAGTTAGAGAGAGTGCTGAGACCACCCACTGAGTCAGTCTGGCCTGTGCAGTGAAGTCCACTTGGTCACCTAATTCGGGGGGACAAAAGAACCACCCGGGGCCCCATTCCATCCCTCCTCCAATTCCTGCTGCTCAAGTCAGGGAACAGAAACTAAACTGGAACTCCTTTCACTTTCTCCCCATACACTTGGCCTGGTTCCCAAGGGCACAGCAAACAGGCAATTGTGTATTTTGCTTTATGAGGGGAGACGCTGAAGGCTTCTTCCCTTTCCAGCTCCCACTGGGTGGTAAACAGAGACGGACGGGAATGAGCACCTGAACAGGGAGATGACATCACCAGCAAGCTGCAGGCAGGATTTGTTCCAGATCAGCTGCAGTGCAGATAATCTGTGGATAATTAAGAGGGGCTTTATTTATTTTTAAAACTCTTTCTTCTTCCTCTCACAGGCAGAGGGGCTGCCATGTGTGTGTGTGAGAGAGAGAGAGTGGTCTGCTCAACAAACTATTGGCAGGTGCCTCTTCACCTTGGGAAGGCTCTAGTCCAGGTACTCCACTGAACTCATGGCCCCTAAATATACTCTTTAAACTCCTTGTTTCTTTGCTTGCATCTTCCCAGTTCCTGAAATGTTCTGCTTCCTGCCCACCTGCTGAAACCCTGTCCATCATTGTGAATCCAGATGAAGTCTCACTTCCCCTCTGAAGCGTCCTCAGTGACCTTCCAGTCTTTTCTGAACTCCTGTACATCCGTCTGCATATACTGCATTTGACATTTGCCATACACTAATCTGGGCTGTCATTTAACTTTTTGTACATGTCCATCTCTCAACTTGACTTCAAGCTTCAGGTCCGGGACACAAAGCAGCACTTAGACCACACGGTGGACTGGCGTTACCTTCGGTCCACTTGTTACGTCTACAAAACTGCAATGCCCACCTTCCGGAGACAGTCAGCCTGTCGCCCTTCCGCCGCTGCCCCAATGCAACGTGTTCATTGCTACAGAGCTCTTCACACAAGCCTCGGCTGCTCAGACAAACCAGTATTTCTGAACTTAGATGCTGCCTCTCTCAGCATTTCAACACAAACCAGGAAGCCCTCGTCTGACCATTTCTCTATTCCCATTTGAGTTTACTGTGATTCATCCCTTCTCAAACCTCCTACTTTCTAAGTTTTCCCATATCATCTTCCTATAATTTCTGCCATAAACCCTTTGCCTTTCCCCACAGGTGGACTGATTATGAAACACCTATTACCTAAGAAGTCTCGGATTAGTGGTTCTTTTCTGTCGTGGGCCCATCGGCCCTGGGGAGTCCCAGACCCCACCCCTGGATGTGCCCTTCTGGGCAGAGGGTGGATGGCAGCTCTCGATGTGATGAAGCTTCCAGAGCAAAGCAGAGCTGTTCCCCATCTGGAGGTGGTGGCTCAGAGCTGCTCTGAATCACAGGTGTGATTGGGAACTAGGGAGCTGGCATTCACCTTGAGAGGCGGAAAGGTCATGGTTCAGTTGGACTCGACACTTGGGGAGAAGAATGCGTATAATTCTTCCAAGGGCAGCAAGGCTCCCGTGATTCCATGGGGAACGTTGTAATAAAACACACAAATGGAAAGCTCTACCCCCAGACTTCGTCCAGCAGAGCTTCTCCTCTCCACTAGTTTCTCACCAACTTTCCACCAATCTCTTATCTGAGGCCAATTAATTATCTTCTCACGCATTCAGCTTTTAACATGTAGAGGCAAACCAGAGACGAGCTGGTGTGTGCCAACTGCCCCCTTCGAGGACTCCTGGGGCTCTGGTTTAGAAAGTGGCTTTGGAAAGTCTAAATTTAGACTCACCTCCTCTGATCCTCCCCAACCTCACATTGGCAGCTTTCAGCAGGAACTATGGCCCCCAGCGAGGTGCTGACATTTCCCAGACACTGCTTTCTTCCCACTCCTGAGCATCTAAAAACTTATAGGAAAGCCTCCCCCGGCGGGGCCGATGTTTACCATTGAACAGGCTAACCACTGCACAGTTCCAGGTGCTATCATTCATATCACAGTAGAGTCTGCCTGACTCAAAGTTTGGAGATCCTAATTGCTGTAGTCTATGTGAATGAAGTACCCTAGCAGAGACTGACAATTTTTTTTTTCCCTATAAAGGGTCAAGAATAAATATCTTAGGCTTTATAGCACCGTCTTTGGTACAACTACTCAACCCTGTCTTTGTATCACAAGAGCAGTTGCAGACAATACCTAAATGAATGGCATGGCTGTATTTCAGGAATACTTCATTTACAAAAATAGGTGGGGGGCTGGGTTTGGCCAGGGGGTAAGTTGCTGACCCCTGTTCTGCATCATGTAAGAACATCTTCTAGCTTGTTCTCAAGGAGGCACTGAAGTATGCGGTAACTGGGCCCTTCCTACCCTACCTCATTTCCCCTCGGAGCTGCCCTAGGCCCCAAGACTGCCCTCCTTAGGAGGTTCCCTGGGCTCCAGACTCCATCAGGCTTAGTTCA